CGTTTGAAAGGGGTGAAGGGTCGTGGGGGCGGAGGGTTGGTTGCAAGCCTCGATTCTAGGCTTCAGTCAGTCGTGCGAGGAGCGGGACTCGCTAGGGTGGAAGGCTCGTTGCGACCGTTCTGGTCACCCTTGCCTCGGGACAGACTCCACCTGTTTATCATTCCGTCGCGTAAACCAACAATAGACGCACCGTGTGAAACGCGAAACGTGGGCAGAAATGTCGCCGACGTCGATCAAGAGAAAGAATCGCGGGCTGATCGAACGATACACGAGATAATCGTCGTTGAAAAGGGGTGGATGGAGTGCCGGCAGCCTAACCAGTGATTTCGGCGTGATAAGCAGCTTAATTGATCAGGTGCGATATATATCGAGAGCACTTAACTGTGATATGCGCTCTCTCCCCTTCTTCACCCTCCCTCCCTCCCTCACATCCTCTCATTGTCTCTCTCTCTCACTCTCTCACTCTCTCTCTATCTCTAACTCACTATCTTTCTCTCTTCTGTGCTACACGTAACACACGTTATACTAACTAGCACGAATCCTTCTCTCCGTATCTGTCTGTCTCTCGTTGTTTCTCGTTCACGTTGCTCTCGCTCGCTTTCTCTTTTCGTATCAGTAGTGGCCTCTTTCTGTGTCTTCCTGCAACAATTTTTGTCTCCCTTTCTCTGCATCTTTGTCCTTCTCGTTTTATCCGTTGTTCGATCTTCTTCTCTGTCTGTCCTAGCTATCTTGTCTCCTCTGTTTTGCGCCTCACCCTATTCTCTGACCTTCTCCGTGTTCCGGCCACTCGGCTGATTAACCGTGAAACAGGGTGATTAGGAACGCGACGGCACGCGCACATACGTAAACGCGCATACATTGTAACGGATGATAGTGGATGGAAGACGACGGGGTGCAACGTGACCTCGTGGCGAATGTTCTTCTTTTCGTGCGCGAGTCGGTCGGTAAGAGCGCCCGACCAGCTTTGCCAGGCCGTTCTTCTCTTTCTTTTGCTCTTCTTTTTTTCGCTAACAGGACGACAGTTTTATCTATACGGCTCGCTACTTCCATCGAGCGATCAAGCTCTTTCTTACGTTCTGAACGCGATACCCGCACTCTCGTGAATATTCGACCAGCAAGTTGTGCTTTGTGCATCTTCCAGCGTAACGTTCTTTCAACCGAAAACTCGTCGTTCGTTTTAGTGCGCCTGTTTTAAAACCTGTTGTCGTGGACACGTTGTCTGTGAGCGAATGTCTGTGAACAGATGTTGGTGCATTTGGGAAAATCGGACGAAGTTCGACGTTCGCCTTGAAAGTTTTTCGAAAAAAGGGATTCGACCACGAGAATTATACGAGAGAATTTAAATTCCTACGAAAGTCGTGGGATTTGCGTTGATCGAGGGGAAAAATTGTTCCCAGTCATGCAAGAATCGAATAAAACTGTTTCCTAGGCGCTTAAAGGCCATCGTGTACGTAACAAAAAGCTAAAAGTGAAGTTCAAGGTAAACGTTAATAAGGTTAACGTACGTGTTCGTTCGATATTCGAGGATAACGATACGCTTTGACACGGAAAATGTCTTCCGCCTTCGAGTACTCTTGCTTCTTACTTGCAAACTTTGATAGATACATAGGGATAAAAAGTCGACGTTGCATAAAAAATCATAGAAATCGTTGTTATCAAGAACAGAAGTTTGCTTACTTGGAGAAAATGTGTCTTACGAGAAAAAAATACGTAAAATTTGCGTTATTCGTTTCGTAAGATATAACTTCGAAGACCATAGAAAAATTAATCGACGGAAACAAAATAAATAGATAAAGAGGAATTAAATAAAAAGAAATGGTAATTTGTGATACTTAATAGAAATAGTGGTCGTAAATAAACGTAGAATCAGAATTTGCTTACGAGTGGGTGGAACAAGCTAAGATAAGGCAAACGTTGGATAAAATTATTTTTCCTTTGGTAGGACGCGTTCCTAATCAACCCTACTTCGCATTTCTTCCATCTCGTAGTTTCAATTCCATCTTCTTCGGTCACCGTCCGAAATCCCTTCTTTCTCGATCGACGAACTTGGTAAACGAGATCCGAAAGCTCAGCACACGTCTTGCGGAATAGCGGAGTTTATGGTCTAGTCAGAGCGAGTAGGATCGATATTTAAGGAAAAAAGAAGCATACGCGTGAATTCCTGAATTTAAGGCCAGCACAAGCGCAGATATATCGTTCTTTTCCTTTTTCTTTCCTCTTTTCTTTTTATTCCCCTTTTTATTTCCTTTTTCTTTCTCCTTTTATTTTCACTACAATGCAGCGAAGGTATCCTTTATCCTCAAATTAAATTCTTTAAATATTCACAGCGTCCGTTTCAAAGATCGATTTCAAACATTTTTCTCATATTTTATTCATCGAGACATTCTCGGCCATGTAAAAGTGTCGAGATTAGCCAATTACCACACTTTTGCCATCTTTCATCGGAAAGTTCAAATATTTGATCCAAAAATCTACCTACCTTGCAACGCAAGTTTGACGCAAATAGACTAATAAAATCCACAGATTTCGTATACATAAAATTCTTACGTTAAAAGGTTTTAAATCTTCCTTCAAACGTTTACTTAGACTTAGGTCGAAGATACGCATGAAAGCGACCAGCATTTTGTTGGAATTGTAATTTCCCAAGCAGATTCAGAAAAAGAAACACAGATCGTAATTCAACCGATTAATCGTTCGTTTCGTATTTTACGTAATGTAAAATAGACGTATTAATTAAAGGTATCCCGGTCCGTTTGTCCGTAGCAGCCACTACTTGCAGCGACTCAATTGCTCACTTACTTCATCGTCTCGATCGTCTTGATCATCTTGATCGTCTTGATCGTTTTGATCGTTTTAACATTTTTCCACCCTTGAATCAGCATCGAATCGAATCAGCATGGAATCGAATCAGCATCGAATCGAATCAACATCGAATCGAATCAACAGGCCAAGCTCGACGGTTACGAATAGACGGAGTTAAAGCTCGATCTAAACGCGAAACCGGCGATACGCGCGTATTTCAAGCGCACCGATTAAATTTCAAACTCGATCGGGCGTGGCGTAAAACATCGATTCGTGATTTGAAAAGCATTTTTTGTTTTCGCCTGTCTGCCTCGTGTACGCTCGTCCGATGGATCGACCGAACATTCGAGCTCGAGGGTCATTCGAACTCGATATCTCGTCAGCACGAGTACATCGCTGTCGATGTGCTAAATGATTTTAAAAAGAAGAAAACGCGCGATGTCTCGCGCAGCTGGTTCACGTGCACGATCAATCGACACAAAAGAAGAGGAACGCAAGGCTTGCGCCTCCTGGAATTGCGAAATATCGACGAAAAAATACCCATCTTCGTTCTATGCTGGCTCTCTCTGCCTTGTCTCTAATAGTTGGACGAACAGGGTCGACGCTTCCGCGTGTCAGTTGCTTTACCGCTGCAAACTAATCTGACAGTTTTTTTCGTCGCGTATCGCCGTCCATTAAATCAGACGTACGTCCACGTGTAGATAAACAGACTACAATTCCATTTTAAACGGCTTCGTCGCTGAGAATAAAACTCGGCGCAACTTGCAGAAAAAAAACCGAAGAAGAAGGAAAAGTAATCTATGCAGAATATAAATTTTATTAGAAATATAAGCGAAGAAGGCGATTCTCGAATCGTCGAATCTCAAAGTTTCGTTTTATCTGCTTCCTTTTATTCTCTCTACGTCTGAAAATTCCGTCTTCCACGTATTCGTGGGGCACGACGAAAGTGGCAGTCGATGTTGATCGAAACTGATACGATTCTTACGATACGATTAAAGATTAGAAGTTAATCGGAAAAAATACAAATTACCAATTACCATCGAAACGCGTTAATCGCCTAAATATGGCTGAACCATCGTGGAATTCAGCCAACTCGCAGAGCAAACAGCAGGTATCTCAGCGAGTATACACAATGGTTACTCACAACAAAGTAAAAGTCGCGAGGGAGGACGATCGATGCCGATGAAGAACTAGATAAAGGAGAGAGATGGAAATACGAAATTCTAGAAACACGAGTATCGACGAAACGACGAACGGGCAAAAGAAAACTGAAAAGTTGCAATTCACAGGAGAATGTATCCGCTGTGGTGTGACGGATGTCGAGCTACACGGTGCAAAGCAGCGCCAACGATATTATCCGCGTGCACCCTTTGTTAAGCCAGCTGCGTCCATTTCGTACACGTATGTATAACTTTGCACCCATATACGAGTACAGCTAGCTAGTACAAGGTTGCACGCCTAAAACGTGCTGCGCGCCCTAAGCTCTCTCGGTCTACTACACTGCGTTTTAACTATACACCGCTTTGCATCCTGCACGTACCTATGCAGAAAGGTACGTATTTGTTACAAGCACTGGACATACGCGTAGACGACAACGTGGCCATTGCGGTTAAGTATCCTGTTCGAAGAATCTTTTAGCATCGACCTGATCGTGATTCGCAGTTATCCAAAGTATCCGCATATCGTAACGCGGTTAATAATAATCCGGTTATTTCGTTACGAATAACAGGATCGATGTACCGTTTAAACGGTGTAAGCAAACGCAGAGAACGAACGTCTTAGCTTCTTTCCCAAAAAATGTATCGCCATAAGGTAACTTTTTAAGAGAAAATTCGAACAGTTAGATCATCGAATTCAATGTCGCCCGAGCGTTCAAAGATTCGTAATCAGATGGAAGCATAGAGAAGCCAAGCGAGCGGCGGCCTGGCGAATGAACGTTCCCTCGTGAAAACACGCTCGTGTCACGCTACGATACGAGAATCCTTGATGACTCGATTTCGATTCGCAAAAAAAAAAAAGAAATAATGCCACTACCACCGGACCACCTGCTCTCCGTAGCTTTTAAAAGCGAACTTGCGGGAATAATGGCTTCCTAACGTAAAGCCGGGACGCGTCCAACTTTGAAATAAAGAGGCAAGAACTTTCAGCTGCCAATATTTTCGCGTAGCTGCGGCACATTTTAATAACCTAAACGCAAGATCCTGGTAATGTCGTACAGACGAGTAAAGCCACCGACATTTTCCACAGCGTACACGGGTATTTCATTTGCGAACGATAAATTTCCCCGAACCGAACTGCGTCTATCTTCTTCGAGTTTTATTTTTTATCTTCGTTCGTTCTTTCCATCTTTTTCTCTTTCTTTCTTTGCGAATACTAATCAACGTAATTGCTTCCAGAGCTCGCACGTGCAGAGAAATTCATATAATTTCGTTATTTAGGCGCGTATTGTTTCCACATCGACCGTATTTGCCGTATAAAAATCATAGACACGGTTTAGTGATGAAACGCACGGTATTGTACGTTTTATTTCTCGTTACATTCCGATAGTTGGATGACAAAAGCAAGTGCAAATCTTACATAGGCTAAAGTGAAATGCATATGCAGCCATATTGTATATGCATATGCATATGCAAATGCAACCAAGGTCATAAAATGACATTTCTGTTTATTCTTTAGAAAGGAGTGGAGAGAGAGAGAGAGAGAGAGAAAGTTGAGGGAAAGGAAGAAATAGTTTATCCTACTCTAGTCGGTAGAAACTTTCATCACACCATCCCTAAAGATAGAATTGTCACGTAAATTCAATATCAGACAAAACTATAACTACTACCACTACACACACACACACACACATAAGCGCGCAAACTATCGAGTAGATCGGAAGCGTTCAGCGGTTAGCGGTTACAAGTGGAAGATTGAAAAAACGTTGGAAAGAAGTTATCATCGCGAGAAAAGCTATTTACACGAGCATGAACTGCTCGTTAAACGTTGATGCAGTGCATGTATCGTAGCTGTGTTGCATTTCCTATACATACAGTGTACGCGTGACACATATACACTAGCATTAGTGGCTATCGTCCATTCGTTTACGAAAGTAGAATCAGGAAACATCGGATATCGTTGTCGAGCATGGAGAGATCGAGCGTTTACTGAACGCCAGATACACAACCTCGATCACCTACCCGGTCGACAAACGATCTACCCACCGATGTAAATCCTCGTTTTCCAGACCATAAGCTGAATAATTATTAATTAATAAAGTTGGCCTGGTGACACAGTAATTCGTATACCGTTTCTCATCCCATCGAATCAAATTTTACCAATTAGAAAATCAAACTAGAAATAATAAGGGTGTAGGGATGGCGGGCTATCTCGAGTCTACCTCACTATCGACCGGTGCATCGCTATGTTTGATATTTAAATGAAATTGAAATTTCAACTGTTGCGCTCGCCGTATAAACATTTCCTTTGTAAAGCCTAATTCCTTTCCCCAGCATCCTTAGAAGCGAGATTATTCGCAAGTTACGTTTGCCTTGACAGAGGATATGGGCATAGTTTTTTTCAAATATCGAACCTACTCAATCACGAACCAACAGCACGATCCACTAATCTTCTTCTTCCTAAACAACAAGTAACGTGAGTAACGATCGGAATATCACGGCTGCGCGAGAACTGTTTCTTCGTTAAACATACAACCGATGTTTCCATTGAGAAAATTGTAATTTTGGTTGCGTGCGAAGTCTTCCAAGCACGTTGGAAGAATCTTTAACTTTGGAAAAGTAAAATAACAGCGCACTTGAACGAGCAAGTAAATCAAAGTCCGTGCAAGTTGCACGTTCGACGTGTCTACTACACCGTGCCCCGTGTCACTTCGTAGTCACGAAGAAAATC